AAGCCTCTTTTTTTTTTTACTGAGATGCTATAAATCTGAAATGTTTGGTGGCTCACCCTCAAGGAAGTTCATGTGCCAGAAACTTCTTGGTTTGTTGTTGTTGTTGTTGTTGTTGGGTGGCATGAGGTTGAGTTTGACTCATAGCCACCTCATGAACCTCAGAGCCCTGTCCTAGCCTGTGTCGTCCTCACAATCTCTGACATACTCCAAACCGTCTCTGCAGTCACTCTATCTGCCTGGTTAAGGATCTTCCTTATCTTTGCTTCCCCTCCACCTGTTTAAGCATGATGTCCCTCTCTAAGGAATAGCTTCTCCTAGAAACACACTCAAAGTACGTAAGATGAAGCTTTTGCCTGTAAGGAGCACTCTGGCTGCACTTTCTCCAAGACATTTCTGTTTGTTCTTGTGGCAGTCCATGGAATATTCAGCCGTCTTGAACACCACAGTTCAAAGGCATCAATTCTTCTTCCGTCATCCTTATTCATTGTCCAGCTCTCAAATGCATAGCAAGTGACTGAAAAGACTATGGCCTGAATCAGGAGCACCTTAGCCCTCAAACTGACATACTTATTCCTCAGTAATTTGGAGAGGTTCCTGACTACAGACCTTTCCAGTGCAATATGTCTTCCTGGCTGCTGGTACTAAATGTATTGATTATGGATCCAAGTAAGATAAAATCAATGACAGTTTCAATCTTTTCCCATCTATCATGATGTTGTCTATTGGTTCTTGGTTTAATGTAGAAAAAAAGAATACAAAGAGTTAGGTAGAGAAAAACTTAGTTGTGGATTCATAATGTAGGACCTCCTCCTCCCTTTCTTGGCCTTTCAAGAGAATTTTAATAGAATACTCACTTTCCAAGCACTTCAGAAAAGAAATTGATGAGAAATAATGTAATGACTTCTTTCTCAGCTTGGGGTCAGAGTGTTGAGTATTGCAATTCAGATGATGCAACACAGATGATGAAGTCGTGATTGGCTGAGGCTAAGTAGAAGCCCACTGACCACAAAAACAAATGGGTGAGAGAACATATCAAGGTCACAGATACATTGGTCTGCAGGTATCCTTGGTGGTGGGTAACTTTTTTTTTCTTCATTAATTTTAATGAAAGTTTACAGAGACTTAGGGTTTCCAGTCATTCTTTGTTGCACTTTTCTCCCTACCCGCTTCCTCCCTCCCAATTCACTCTTCTCTTTGAAAAGAAAAAGAAAAAGAAAAACTCTTTCATTGTTATACAATCCCTCCCTGCAAGTCCACTCCACAATGTAGCCTTCACATTTGTCCCTTTTAAACAGTTCTCTCCCTCATCTGTTTCAATGCAATATACATCATTCCTCCTCTCCTTTTCTGTCTTCCCTCAAGCCTGATATCAGTCTCATTTTACAACAGTGGCCATATGAAATATTTATCCTTTTGTGACTGAGATATTTCACCCAGCATAATGTCCTCCAGGGTCACCCATTTTGCATAATACTTCATGAGTTCCTTGTTTTTCAATGTTGAATAGTATTCCATTACGTGAATATACCAGAGCTTCTCTATCCATTCGTTTGTTGATGGGCACTTGAGTTGTTTCCAGCTCTTTGCTGTTGTGAAAAAAGCCACAATAAACATGCGTGTGCAGGTGGTGGGTAACTTTTTAAGGTGTTCCCACAAATGAAACAGAAGAGCAGGTTACCCTCAGCGTGGCTTACTTTATCTGTATAATCCCCCTCCCCTTAATCTACACTTGATAAACAAAGTCCTGACTTGAGACACTTGTTTGTCAGTTTGCGCTACTGTGGTTACTTGTGTGATGCCAGAATGTTGGAAATGATGTCACCAGTATTTCAAATACCAAGAATGCTGCCCATGGTGAGGAGGTTTCATCCCTCACTGAGAAAAGACTGAAACAGACTTAGAAACAGGACTGGCCATCCAATCCTGAACTCACAGACCTTCAAAAACTCTTTGAATAACAGAGGGACATGGGGAGATAGAAAGCTGGAAGATTCCACCTCAGGGTGGAAGACTCTCAAAAAATAAAGAGGAACAACTGTGCACATCCATGAATAATCGGAATACGGAATGTACAAAGCATGATGCTAGGAAAATTGGAAGTAGTGAAATGGAACGCATAAAGAAATTCATTCCAGGCTTAGGGAGCTGTGATGGGCTGGAATTGGTAATTTTGAACAGACAATCTTTTGAAGTATTATGACAGGGACGACATATTAAGGAGAAATGGTTTCCCACCAAAAATAACCTTGCAAGATCTATTATAAAGTACAGTGCCGTGAATGATAGGATATTCATACACGTACAAGAGAAACCAGCCACTCTAATTATTTGTCAAATATATGCACCAACCAGTAAAGTCAAAGATGGAAGAATCGAGGACTTATATCAACTTCTGTAGTCTGACATTGATCCAACAGGCAATTAAAATGCATTAATAATAAGTAGTGACTGGAAAGCAAGAGTTAGAAACGGAGAAGGACTGAGAGTTGGAAACTAAGAACTTGATGATAGAAATGGGGCTGGAAATCTAATGACAGAATTTTGTATGAGGAATGATTTATTAATTGCAAATGTGGTTGTTGTTATGTGCTGTTGAGTCAGAACTGACTCATAGCTAATCTTCTAGCAGGTTTAGAGGCAGAATATTGCAGAATGTTCAGAATATGGTAGAATATTCAGAGGCAGAATATTGTGTGGGAGGAAGGCCCCAGGAATTGACAGAGTACCAACCAAGATGTTTAAAAAGATGCAGCTCTGGACATACTTATTAGTCTGTATCAAGAAAGTTGAAAGATGTGGCCAGGGCAACTGATTGGAAGAGAACCATATTTGTTCTCATTGAAAAAAAAAGTGTTCCAAAAGAAAGCAGAGATTACCAAGCAATATCATTACTAACTCAAGTAAGCAAAATCTTGCTGAAGATTATAGGGGGCAAAAAAATGGCTGAAACAGTACATTGATGGGTAACTGCTAGCAATTCAAACTGGATTCAGAAGAGGCCATGACACAAGGGACATCATTGCTGATGTCAGATGGATCTTGGTTGAAAGAAGAGAATACCAGAAATATGTTTGTTTGTGTTTTACAGATTATGCAAAGGCACGTGACCGTATAGATTATAACAAATTATGGATACCATTGAAAAGAATGGAATCCCAGAGCACTTAATTGTGTGCATGGGAAAACTATATATAGATAAAGAAGCATTTGTCCAAACAGAACAAGGGAGCTCTACGTGATTAAAATCAGGAAATGTGTGCATCAGGGTTGTATCTTTTCTCTGTACCTATTAAATCTGTATGTTGTTGTTGTTGTTATGTGTCATCAAGTCGCTTGCGACTCATAGTGACCCTATGTACAAAAGCTCTAAATGCTGTTCTATCCTGTGCCAACCTAGCCATCTCAAACGCACTTATTCCCACCGTTCCAGTCACAGAATCGATCCATCTCACCAAAGGTCTTCCTCTCCTTCACTTCCCCTCCACTCTGCCAAACATGATGGCCCTTTCCAAGGACCAGTCCCTCCTTGCAACATGCCCAAAATATGTCAGACGAAGCTTCAGGATCCTTGACTCCAGGGAACACTCTGGCTTCACCCTCTCCAGGACAAAACAAAGAAGCTGAACTATATAAAGAAAAATGTGGCTTCGGGATTGGAGGAAGACTCAATAAAGTGCTATGCAGACGACACAACCTTGCTTGTAAAAAGGGAAGAAGATTTGAGGCACTTACTGCAGAAAGTCAGAGACTACAGACTTCATTATGGATCACATTTCAACATCAAGCAAAGAAAAATCCTCACCACTGGATCTAACCGACAGCATCGTGATAGAAGATTGAAATCGCCAAGGATTCCCTTTTACTTGGATCCACAATCAACACCATGATAGCACCAGTTAAGGAATCGCAAGATGTGTTGGATTGGGAAAATCTTCCGTTATAAGGACCGCTTTAAAGTGCTACAGAGCACGGATATCAGTGTAAGGACTAAGGTGTACCTGTCCAAGCTATGATATTTTCAATTACTGCTGTGGATTGGAAAGTTGAACAATAAAATAAGGAAGACCAAAGAAGAATTGATTCCTTTAAATTATAAGTTTGGAGAAGAGCACTGAATATACCATGGACTAACAAAAGAATAAATACATCTGTCTTTTTTTTTTTTTAATTAGTTTATTTCAAACACATCTGTCTTGAAGGAATTGCAACCAGGGCGCTCCTTAGAGGCAACGTACTTTGGGCATGTTGTCAAGAAGGAGCCAGTCCTTGGAAAAACCCCATCAAGTTGTGAAAGGTAGAGGATGAGAGAGTGAGAGAGTGAGAGAAAGGTCCTCAAGGACCTTACAGAGCCTTCAACAATGGGCTTGAGCATGAGGGAGATGGTGGGGGTGGGGCAGGACGAAGCTCCCGACTGTTGTTCATGTGATTGTAAGTTGTTGTTGAACCTCCAGCTCCTAATAACAACAGTGGGGAAATAAGGTTGCTGAGTCCGTAGAGAATGGTGTTGTTTACTTAAAGTCTGCAAAAATCAGTCTGAAACTCTGCCAGAGAATGTCTCCACCAATTAATTATGATTTATAGCCTCGGAAACCTGATGTTGTTACGTCGCAGTGTGTCATCAGATTGGAACTGGTTCATAACTGACACCGCAGTAGGTTTTTCAGAGCTTTTAAATCGCGAGGGAGGAGATTACGCATCTGTCTCCCATAGAGCGCCTGGTGGATTTGAGCCCCGCGCCTTTGGGATTGCAGCTCAGCTTCTTACCACTAGGCCACCAGCGTTCCACCAGCCGAGTGTGATGCAGAGTCAGTATAAGTTGAAAACGACGCCGCGGCAATGAGTTGGCTCTTTTTTGTTTTGGAACCAAAGTACCCCGAGTGAAGTCGAGAGCACTCAGAGCCTGCAGCACCCCGGGCGGCGCTGCCCATGTCCACTCAGGCCTCTCGATGGCCGCTTAGGGGACGCGCCCACCCGGCCCCCCGCTCCCATTTCCCCGCCAGAGCCGAGGGGCAGGAGCGGCCGCCAGGGGGCGCCGTGAGAAGGCCCGAGCCTCGGCTGGTGGCCATGGCGGCCCCGGGCGGGCCCCTCGGTGGGGCCGGACCCCTGGCTCTGCTCCTGGTCCTCCTGCTCCTCGGACCTGGGCTCGGCGAGGCCCCGGGGGGCACTCAGGTCCCTGGAACGACCCGGCAGAGTCCCCCACCTCACTCTTCCCTGCCCCCCTTCAATTTCCCTCCTGCAGGTGACTGCACGTGGGTGTCCTCAGGAGAGGTGCCTTTAAAAAATAACAACAACAACAACAAAACCAAACATAATTGTGATTTGAACGGACGTTTATGGAAAGGTTGGGTTTTCACCCAGCATTCTGAGTCGTTGAGAGAACCCTGTTCTTCCTGGGTGTCTGGGGGGCACCCAGGCTCCAGCTCCATGTGATCTGGGCAGGTGGTGGTCCTGTCTGGGATCGAGGGGGTGGTCTGAGGATGTGACAAGGGTTAACTTTGGGAAGAAGGCCCGTCAAAGGCCTGGGAGGGCTTGCATGGCTTCCTTCTTGCTTGTTTAATGCATCTGGGGGTCCTTCTTGGGGAAGTCCTGGTCCTAGAGAAGTTGGGGGCCTGTCTTTCTGGGGACTTCCTACACTTCTCACCGCAGGATGTGGCCATCCGGAGGTGAAAATAGTCGGAGGAGAGGATTCCCAGGAAGGCGAGTGGCCCTGGCAGGTGAGCCTGAGGATCCGACACAAGCACGTCTGCGGAGGCTCGCTCATCTCCCACCAGTGGGTGCTGAGCGCGGCCCACTGCATTTTAAGGTGAGGAGGGAGGCCTGATAGTTCTAGAACCATCCAGAACCTGTTCTCACCCCCCACAACCACCCCTGAGCTCAAATGGCCTGGCAAAATTGGCAAGAGCAAACCAAGACAAACGCTGGTGGCCTAGTTAGTGTTAAGAACCGGTGCTGCCACACCAAAAGGCACGTGGTTCGAATCCACCAGCCGCTCTGTGAGAGACAGAGGGACGATCTCCTCCTGTGAGATTTACTGTCTTTGAAAACCTGCTGGAGGGCCAGCGATGGGTCCGTTCTGGCTCTAGGACACACAACGACAGTAAACAATCCAAAGACACAATAAAAATGGGAATGGTTCTGCAAGGTGAGATGGGTATGGTTCTGCAGGGTGAGATGGGAATGGTTCTGCAAGGTGAGTCTTTCCATGGGGACATTAAGGGAAAGGGCAGCCAAACCAATTTTGAGCATGACCAAGGAAGGGTTCTTGGGCAATCAGTAGGTTGGGAAAGATGTGAAAATGCCCAAGGAAGGGGTGCTTCCCGGGGTCTCTATACCCTCTCTTCTACAGTCGTTACACGTACAGTGTCAAGATTGGAACCTGGAATATTTCAAATAAAATCAGCACAGTCAAGAAGGGTGTGGAGATCCCCGTCAAAAACATCGTCGTCCACCCGAAGTTCACAAGAATTCAAAGTCTTCAAAACGACATCGCGCTTCTCTATCTTCTCAACCCTGTGAACTTCACCTCTACCATCAAGCCTATCTGCATCCCACAGGAGACTTTTAAGGTGGCAGCTGGGACCAGGTGCTGGGTGACAGGATGGGGCCGACTTAGGGAAGGAGGTGAGACTTGGCAGACAGGAAGCAAGCATTGGGCAGTGGGGGTGGCCTTGCGTCCTGGTGTAGCTTTGAAGGCTGAAGGGAGAGGAAGAAAGGTAGAGCGTCTGAGACAAAGAAGGGTTAAGGACCAGGCTTATGCTTCTCAGGCTGGTTCGGGTGAAACTGGGGTAAAGTCTTTTGTTATGACACAAAATAATCACGGGAGCCATTTAGGAAAGTTGTTCATCTGGGGGAATGGGAGCCCCTCAGCTAAACTGTTGTTATGCATCCTTGTGTCAGAATCCAGCAGGTTTTCAGAGGTGGTGAATCACAAGGGAGGAGTTTCCCTTTCTCCCCAGAACAGCTGGTGGATTCGAACCACTTGCCTTTGGGTTGGCAGCACAACTCCTTGCCACAAAGCCACCAAAGCCCCCTGTTCAGTTTGGAGAAGGAATATATCACCTGATCGCCTGCATTCATGGAGAGCTCTCAGGGGATAGTCTGTGGGGAGTGGCACTGGTAATCCAAAGACCACACCTCTCTGGTGGTGGTTTGAACCCGCCAGTTGCCCTGAAGGAGCAAGATGGGCAATCTCCTTTGATACTATTTATGCCGTTGGAAAACCGCTGGAAAGTCAGCTCTACGTCAGTTCTGACTCAAAGGCAGTGAAGATTGAGAGTGCCTGACAGGCCGTCTCTTGTGGTACAAACGATTAAGTGCTTGACTTTGAATGAAAAGGTTTTTTTGTCCAACCCACCAAGACACCTTGAGAAGAGACCCAGCAGTCTACTTTTTTTCTCCCCTTCTCCTTTTTTTTGGGTGATCTACTTTTGAAAGCTCACAGCCTTGAAAACTCTGTGGCGCCCACTTTACTCTGCATGCGTGGGGTTGCCTGGAGCCCACATTTTGTTTTTGTTTGATTGGTGGAGTACTTCTGAGTTTCCTTAGGAGAGGAAAAATCTAGATGCAGTAGGGGTTTCCCCAAGGTTGATTTCAGCTCAGAATGTGACCAGCTACCTCCAGTCGGACTGTCCCTCCCCCCTCTTCCCATGAAGCTGTTGGGCCTGCGACTGTGGGGGAGAGGCCTGATTTGGTACCCACTTGTCTTCAAGTCTGTGGTCCTGCTCTGGAAAGTAACGATGCTTTCCTGATGAACAGGACCCAAGTTGTTTGGTGAGACAGAACCCCATCATGCCTCTCTCAATGCTGACCTGTTTCTTCTTTGCCTTCTCCTCTCCTTTACTTTGCTTCTTATCTCCACCTTCACCTGTCAGTTTTGGGCCTCAGTTTCCCCCAGTGTTTAATGGGGACTGTACCTACTCTCTTCCTCTCTTTCACGGGGTGCCTGGGGACTTCCTGTCTACAACTGCAGATCCACGGACCACTCATTTTCTTTGCTTGTAGAACCGGCTATTTTATCAGGTGTTCTCCAAAAGGTGGACCAGTATATCATGCGCTATGAAAACTGTAATACTATAATAAAGCAGGTGATGGCGAGTTCGGCAGACGTCGTCATGAAAGGCATGGTCTGTGGTTATAAAGATGGAGGAAAAGATGCTTGTCAGGTCAGTTCTACTCTGCGTTTTGATTGCTCTTCCAAAAGGCACTCTGGGGTTCTGGGGTCCTACTATGGCGGAGTTCTTTGCCAGCACCTCTGCTCCTCTTTGCCATGTGCCCTTGAATCAGCCCACAGCTGACCCTCCAGCGGGGCAGTAAGTCATTCTTGAGCACCCATCTTTTTCCCCGTGGAGCAGCTGGTGGATTCGAACCGTGTGCCTTCAGATTGGCAGCACAGCTTCTTACCACTAGCGCCACCAGAGCCTTAGTTTCATTCACGAGAGTCACGTGGCAGTGGAGGGATTCCATTATGGCTTCCCTCAGCTGCCCTTGTTCCATTCATTGAACTCCTTGGTGGCTCTTTTTTGTGCCTGTATGAGCGTTTACCCACATCATCTCAGCTAACCCACGTCACACCCTGGTGGCGGAGACTGCTGTGTGTACAACGGTCACATCTATTGTATAGATATAGACTGTGAGGTCCCAAGGGCAAAAGACCAAATTCCCCTTTGGGGGCCCAAGTGTCTGGGCGCTCTTCCTCCTATGCTTACGGCCTCCTTGGGGTGCGGCCTTTGAGCTGGGTCCTAGAGGATGAGTACCTTTGTCCAGGAAAGGAGAGACTTAGCAGTGTAAGGGGAGGTTGGGGGGATGGGGATGGGGATAAGGGTGAGATGGACGCTTCTGGCTACCAGGTCAGCTGTGCCTCAGTGGAAGGTAGACAGCTGTCAAAGTGGGTGAACATAGCTGCTCTGTTGTGGATCTTCTTCCATTCCTACAGTTTGTTTTCTTTCTCTTTCTTAAGGGAGATTCTGGGGGACCCATGGTCTGTGACTATAACAACACCTGGATACAGGTGGGGATCGTGAGCTGGGGCATTGGCTGCGGTCGTAATGGAACACCTGGAATTTATACGGAAGTTAGTTCCTACAGAGGGTGGATAACTGGGGTGTTGAACCAGTCCGTCTTTTTGCATGTGGTGGCGTCCGATGTTTTATTCCTGCTGGTGCCCCTGGGCATCCTGGTGACCCTGTGATCAAATTTGCCTTTGTGCCTCCTGTTTCTGAGTCTTCCACTCAACTTCTTCTCTGACGTTTGGTTCGTCTTCTCAATGCCTTGTCTGAAACGTCTGATCGGGACCCATTGACCCCGTGGAGATTGAAGGTGATGATGCGACTGAAACCTGAAAAGGCCTGCCTGGCTCGGTGCACTGGCCACCCTGCCTAACCCTTTGGCTGTGCCTCCGGCCTTTCATCGGCACTATTTCTGCCAGGAAGGACCTACCAGGTGGAGCACGGTGGTTCCTTGCTGTTTTGGAGACTGTCGGCCAGAGAAGGGAGGCTTGGTTTGGCGTCTTTCAGTGGTGAAACCAGTGTTAGACTCTGCTCTGGTTTCAAGATTGTCCTCTAAGACCTGATTAAAAAGGTCACCAAGAAAAAAAAAGTCACCAAGGCTCATTCAAGGAGAGAGGGGAGGAAGTATCATCATGCCCCCCGCTGAGTCACCGGGCTTAGACTTTCCAAATCCTCACCCACATAAGTGTCCAAAGACAACCCGATCTTGAAACCCCTTTGCTTAAATCCTTAATGGTCACATCCAGGGGCACCTCAAGCTGTGTCAAAATATAAAGAGTGTGCAAATTTAACAAGTCAGCTAAATAAATACTTAAAGAGCCATTGTGTGTCCTCCATCTTACTGACCTGGGGTATTGGGACATTGAAGCCAAGTTATCTCACATTTAATTTATTGTCGTGTACCACAGAGTCAGAACTGACCCATAGCTGACCCTCCAGCGGGTTTTCAGAGGCAGTTAATAACATGCGAGGAGATTGCCCATCCTTTTCCCATAGGGCAGCTGGTGGCCTTGAACCATGTGCCTTTTGGGGATTGCAGTGCAGCTTCTTGCCATTAGGCCACCAGAGCTTTCTACATTTACTTTAGGGAGATGCTTATAACTCTCTGTGAACTCTACAGAGGAGGCACGTGCATGCATACCCTGCTGTGAGCTGGATGATGGTTTGAACTGGCCAAACCCTGCTGTCTATGTTCCTATTACGGCTGTCATCATCTTGACAACTGGGAGTATTGTAGTTGAGCTTGCTGGCCCTGCAATTGAGAAGGAGGTCTGAGGCACTGCATCCCGAACGGCAACTCCTGTTTCCTATCTGTTGCTACTCTGGAGGGTCTTTGTCCCAGGTCTTCCAGGAACACGTGACGGGCTGTTTAACTGCATGTGCACGGGCTCCTTTCCGGAGTCACCCTGCAGTCCTCGGATTGCTCTTCCTCCTGACGCTCCACATTTTCTCCACTTTCATGAAACTTGAGGTTGCCCCTTCTGGAGTGGAAGGAGGTGATCTGGCATGTTTTGCATATAGAAAGCAGGTGTATGTCACTGGTAGCTGAATATGGCTGTGAACCCCTCCATGTCTATAGGATAACTTTGAGTTGGAAGCAACTGAGTAACACTCAATTTGGTTTTATTATTATTTTCAAGTTGATGAGATAGAGATTGATAATTTTTTCCCTGGTTGTCTTTCTTTCTCTTGTTCTAGGCATTTAGCTGCTGAGAATAAAGATTACATTTTTAAGCCTTTTTTATATCTAGGTGTGACACTAATACCTGGCCAATGAGATGTAAGAAGAAACAATTGGTTTGCCTTTTGAGAAATGTTCTTAAAGGGAGACAAATCCTTCACCCTTTCCTTCTTTCTTGCCTGGAATGCACATCTGTTTAGTGTGAGCTTGAGAACCCATTTAGGACTTGAGGAACATGTTAAGTGTTTAGAGCGGCAATTTAGAAGGAACTTGGTTCTCTGGAATTTGTAGGACACTCAGTATTTTCTTTTCTTTTTTTTTTTTACTTTTTCATTTAAAAAATTTTTATTTTATTTCAATATTTTTTGTGTGTGCACCATCAAATAGGATCTGACTGATGCAGGAGGAGATTGTTCCTCCTTCTCCAGCAGAGCATCTGGTGGTTTCGAACCACGCATCTCTGGGATTGCAGTGCAGCTTCTTGCTATTAGGAAGGACTCACAGTCTTTTCTATAAGACAGAAATGTATTTCTTTTATAATCAAGCCTCTATATACTGGATCTCAGTTGCTCACAGAATATCATGCTTTATAACGAATTAAACTGGTGTCATTGTGACCTTTAGGTCTTTTTATTTATTTTGTTTTTTAGCTTCTGTTCTTGATTGTTACGAATTTCGTATTTAGAATAATTTTTTTTTCATTCTGGTTGTAGCTGTTGGTGTTGGGGGCTGTTGAGTTGGCGCTGCACCCTGTGTGCAACAGAAGAAAACGCCGCTCAGCTCTGTGTCACCCTCACCGCCATTGCTGTACTTGAACCTACTGAAGCAGCTAGTGGGCCAACCTACCTTCTTGAGGGTTTTCCTCCTTTCTGCTTACCGAGGGGATCTCTAAAGTCGTAGTTCATAGGACCTCATGCTGCTTACCCCAAAGCGATGTTTCTCTGGTGGTCTGAATCCACCACTGGCTCTGAGGGAGAAAGAAGGCCAGTCTCCTCTCATCGGATTTACAGCCTCTGAAAACCTGCTGGGGGTCAACTGGGGTTGGTTCCTACTTGATGGCAGTGAATTTTCAGTCTTCTTTGCCAAGCATGATGTTTTCTTGTTCTCTGTCTCCTTGAATCGTCTCAAACTGATGGACTGGAGCAAGTGTCAAGATTGGAGGAAGCCCTACGAACAACCTATGATGGACAGAGGGTACAATCTTGCTTGTTGAAAGTGAAGAAGACTTGGAGCACTTACTGATGATGATTGAAAACGACAGCCTTCATTATAGACTATACCTCCACATAAAAAAAGAGAAAATCCTCAGAAGAATGGATCAATAAGGAACTTCACAATAAATAAGGAAAATACTGAAATTGACAAGGATTTCCTTTTACTTGGATCCATAATCAGTGCTCATGGAAGCAACAGTTAAGAAATCAAGTGAACTGACATCCAAGTAGATATATGCACACTCATGTTTATCGTGGGTTTGTTCACAATAGCAAGGAGTTGGAAACAACCCAAGTGCCCATCAACAAACGAATGGGTAGAGAAGCTGTGGTATATTCACACAATGGAATACTACGCTGCATTGAAAAACAAGGAACTCATGCAATATTACTCAAAATGGGTGACTCCGGAGGACATGGCCCTGAGTGAAGTATCTCAGTCACAAAAGGACATATACTGCATGGTGCCACTGTTGTAGAATGGGACTGACATCAGGGTTGGAGTAAGACTGAGAAAAACTGGATATATTATGTATATTGCATTGAAACAGATGAGGGAGAGAACAGTTTAAAAGCGATATATGATAGGGTATTATGGTTATGACAAGAGTCCAGAATGAAAGTTGCATAGTGGCGTGTACTCGGGGCCATGGGGTGTGTGCGTGTGCAGGGGGAATTGTATACCAATGAAAGAATTTTACTTTTCAAAGAGAGGAGCGGACTGGGGGGGAGGGGTGGGCAGGGAGAAAAGTGCAACAATGAATGAATGGAAATACAAAATGTCTGTAAATGTTCATTAAAATTAATAAAATAAAATAAAATACAACCCCCACCCAACAACAAAACCCCATAACATCCCAAATTCTTATTTTCACTACATAAATTGTTGTTAGGCACCATTGAGTCAACTATGACTCATAGCAACTTTAGAAACAACAGAAAAAATTTACCCTATCCTGTGCTGTTATTAATGATTTCCAACCTGCTTGAGCCCTTTTTTGCAGTCACTAACTCATTCCTCCTAATTAGAGGTCTTTCTCTTGCTGACACTCTAAAAAAAAGAAAAAGAAAAAGAAAAAGAAATCAAGTGATATATTACATTGAGTATATCAACAAGACCTCTTTAAAATGTTAAAAAGGAAAGCTGTCACTTTGAGGACCCATGACATAATCTTTTCAAGCACTTCATATGCATGTGGAAACTGGACAATGAACAAGGAAGATGAATGTATTTCAGTGTTTGTAGGGAATATTGAATTCACATACCATGGACAGCTAGAAGAATGAATAAATTTATTTGGGAAGAAATACAGCCAGAATGCTCCTTAGAAGCACGGTTTGCTCTAAAACCAGGAGAAGATCAAATAGGTGAATGGGACCTTCTAAGAATCAAGTCCCTATGCACATCCACAAACCTCTCCAACAGGGTAAAAAGGGAAGCCACAGACTGGGAAAAAGTATTTGGTAATGACATGTCAGATAAGGGACTTATATCTAGAATTTATAAAATACTTGAGCACCATAACAAGATAAAGCGAAACAACCCAATTGAAAAATGGGCACAGGATATGAACAGACACTTCATCAAAGAAGACATTCAGATCAACAAACACGTGAAGAAATGTTAAAAATCTCTAGCTCTAAGAGAGATGCAAATCGGAACAACTATGATATATCATCTCACCCCAGTCAGAATAACAGAAAAGCAACCAACAAATGCTTGCAAGTTTGTGGAGAAACTGGAACCCTTATTCACTGTTGGTGGGAGTGTAAAATGGTGCAGCCACTATGGAAGGCAGTATGGCGCTTTCTCAAAAAGTTGCAAATAGAAATACCATTTGACTCAGCAGTTCCACTACTTGGAATATACTCTAAAGAAACCAGAACCACCACTCAAATAGGTATATACACACTCATGTTTATTGCGGCTTTGTTCACAATAGCAAAGTATTGGAAACAACCTAAGTGCCCATCAACAAACAAATGGATAGAGAAGCTGTGGTATATTCACACAACGGAATCTACACTGCATTGAAAAACAAGGAATTCATGCAATATTATTCAAAATGGGTGACCCTGGAGGACATTATGCTGAGTGAAATATCTCAGTCACAAAAGGACAGATAGTGCATAGTCACTGCTGTGAAACAGAACTGACATCGGGGTTGGAGGCAAACTAAGAAAAGAGGTGATAAATAATGTACACTGCATGGAAATAGATGAGGGGGAAAGAACTGCTTAGAAGGAATATATGATTAGGTATTATTTCCATAATAATCTAGAATAA